ACACACACACACACACACACACACACACACACACACACACACACACACACACACACACACACGCCAAAAACAATACCTCTATTTTTCCTGTCGTGCCAGATTACACTGAACCAGCGCTATGTATCTCTATACACCTGTATATAATCTTTCGGCGAACTGTGAGCCACGTGCTGTGAGCTACTGGAGTTCAGTTAAGTGACTGACATCTTTGCAAACGACAAGTGTCGTTCCTCGTTACACCAAACGCGTTACAGATGTGCCCTGAGTGGCTTGTCTGTGTGGGATGACAGAACAAGGCCGTTCCCGCTGTAACAGTGGAGGGTGTACCAACTGACCCGGCCGACGGGTCTAGACCTTTTCGGCCGAGCGGTTAGAGTGTCTGCCTGTGGACTGGTGCCCGGGTTTGGTCGTGGGTTCGAACCAGGGACCTGTAGGTTTTTATCTGTTTCTACTGGTTCCTCCTGTTTCTTAAACCGCCACCCTGGTCGACACGTACTCACCTTAGCCCGAATGATATCACGTTGCTGTAAAACGACTTCTGTAGTTTTTTTTAAACGATAATGAGCTGCTTAGTTACTTCATATTTACACTCACATGCTTTACAATATATTACACAAGTCAGTTCTGCAACATAGCGCATCAATTGAATCTGTAAAAAAAACTTGTATAGATAAATAAACACATGTCATCAATCGTTTTACATCTGGACTGCTTTCAAGAGCCAACAGATCATATTGGTACCGGTGGTGTTGCTATGTCTTAAAAGAAATGTGTTTTGTTTAATTACGGAAGGTACTTTTGAGGCAGTGTTTTAGATTTTTTCCATTTATTGCACTGCAAACTGAAAGGACCAAAATGTTGTTATCCATATCTTGCCTTCATCTTGAAAACATACTTCCTTCCGACCTACTCAACGCAAATAACGCCACATTATGTACTTTACTTCTTACAGGTAGCCCCTCCCTCCCATACCCTACTAACTGCCGTATCTTTGATATTGTGTTCAACTCTATTCATCACTCTGGAAGATTTGACAAAGCACATTAACGCTATAGGTATTGGTGCGCCAGCCACTTTCATTTTATGTTTATGTTATATTTTATGTTATCGTTATGTTTACATTTGTTTTATGAGCAGCGGATTCACATAAGCACAACAAGTGCTTCCTATCTAATGCTCAAAAATCCATGGGAATTAAATAAAAAAATAAATAAAAAATAGATTAAAAAATTGTAGGCATCATTTCCAAGTTAATACCTTATTTTTTCTTTGCAAAAGTTTTAGATATGATACAAACTAACGTGCGTATCAACGCTGTTGCGGAACGTTTAGAAGTCATAACACGTTATCAGTGCTGGGATGGGTTTTATTAGCCTGAGACTACGATCTCAACAATAAGAGTAGTACATTTCTCTCTCGGTCGGCACTACAGATGCAACAAGAATTCGGAGATCTCATACCTCCATGAGTTTTCGTAAATGTTTTTTATTTGTCTCATTGACTAAGGACTAAGGAAATAAGGTCGTAATTAGCATAATCTAGCTAGTTTAATTTGTGGTTTTCTAAATTCAAATGACAATATTTTTCGTGTAAAACTCCTCTCCTTCATTTCAATATGCCCTCATTAATTATGCAAATAACATTTACATTAACATTATATATGCATAGTGGTGTTAATTTAGACCTATTAGCATACCAAATATCATCACAATCCATAAAGGCGTTAGGAAGTTATGCTTACTACAAATGTGCGGATACACAGACACACAGACTTACACACACACATACACACAGACACGCCACAAACAATACCTCCATTTTTCATGGAGGTAATGATGATAAGTTCTTCACCACACCAGTAGTCCACCCTCCTGACCCCGTCTGTTGTACATACAGATCAGTCTATTGACACTTGCATTAATCATTTACCGGGACAAATTTGCACAGAAATGGCGCGATTTTATCAGAAAAGGTAAATTTACATGAGATTTGTCTGGCGAAATCCTCTAAGGCCACAGCAAGTAATTTTTATGGATGACATCATCATGCGCAGTAATTTTCGCCTGATTTGGAGAAAAACAAGAAATGTTGTTGCCCTCTGACAGTGGTCAACATGCCGAAAACGGGCAAAGATGTCTGTTGCCACGCCGGAACGCCAATGGTTAGCAGATAAATATGAAGAGAAGAGACAAGACAAGGCTCTGATTTTGTCTTTTGCTTTAATGCAGTGATCTATTTCATTCCTTTTATATGCGATGGTGGCTGTGTATATGTGATGTTCCCCCTGAATCAAAACTATTTGTACAATGATTGAAAGCTTTTTTTAAAAGTTGTTTCAATCAGAAATAGATGTTGTGATAATGTCAAAATTTGAAAATGTAGGAATCGTGTTTTGTTTGCTCGCCTTTTTTCGCCCGCTCGCATTAGATTTGGAGTCTGAGGAGGATGTCATCCATTTAATTTACTTGCTGAGGCCTAAGCACCTGAGCTCGTAAGAGCTTCAATATTAAGTTTCTTTAGAAAATAGTGGGTGACAGATCTAGATTTGAATACAGTAACCTAAAATGCCTTTACATAGAGGATATATATACCATAGAGTAAGGACTACACCATTGAAAGATTAAACCGTGAAGGGGTATAAGGTTAGGCCACACCAATTTAATTTGTTGGTTCTTGGATTCGCCTCTTCGTTTATTTCTGATTTGCAAAAAAAAAAAAAGGATTATGGTTCTGAATCAAATAAAAAATGCTCATATTTTGCCCCCAACGGTTGAGGAAAGTCCCGTTCTTCCCAGTTGTCACAGTTTTTCCATCTATCAATGCAGTTGTTTGATTAAAAATTCACATTTCGTTGTTAAAATATTAACCCAGCCTTTTATGTTGAATTCATTGTTCCTATCGTAGCATTTGGGACGCCTAGACCTGTTTTTATTTTTTTCACCCTGTCGCTTCATATTTTTTCCAAAAAAAATCCGAGAACCAACAAATTAAATTGGTGTGGCCTTACAGGTTTTGTAGAATGGACTTGCCCTATGGGGGTGTGGTTGTACAACCGGATACTCTAACGTGTTTACTCAACTCTGGCTTTCAAATACCCGTTAAGAACCAAACAATCAATTTATAACCTTCACCACCTTCACTACTACCAAGCGACGTTCACACGTTACCCAGTAACCACAGGAAGACCATGGTGGTCTCCTAATTGATAAATTTTACTATATGCACAACAAATACTTCCGTTGCTTTTATAAAGTTTTAGTTTTTCTAACTAGAGAAGAAACATTTGCAAAGCAAATCCATAGTGTTTACCTTCAGACATGGTCTGCCCTCAGACTGTGGTCTGCCCTGTTAATTCTTACTCAACACACATTCACATACATGCACTACGTGTAGCATATGGTGACAGGAGTAGAGCAGACCATGAAATTGCAACATTATGTAACCCAGCACCAGTCACCATGGAGACAGACATCAACAAATCATGTCATTAACCAGGTCAGAGGTTAGTGTTTGGAACAGAAGAGGAGGAGGAAGAGGAGTAAAAAGAATATGTTTTCCTTCGGTAAACATAAAAATTCATTATAGTTGTCGCTTATATTAATCAATTAGGTGAACAGAGCAAGAATCATGATTGAGTGAGGTTATGTTTGACATAGAATAAACGGAGTTGGAAAGGTGCAATACAACAACGGATCCTGAAAAAACGAACGGAGAAAGGAAAGAATTTTCATTCAACTTTCACCATTCATTCATGTTCATTCTTGTATACTACTTGTCTATGAAAAGATGATAAACACACCACTCCTAGACGATGATAAGTCTTATTATGGTAATTTTGGTTCGTCTAGGAGTGGTGTGTTCATCATCTATTCATAGACAAGTACATGTAGTATACAAGAATGGATATATATATATATATGTGTGTGTGTGTGTGTGTGTGTGTGTGTGTGTGTGTGTGTGTGTATGTGTGGTGTGTGTGTGTGTGGTGTGTGTGTGTGTTTAGTGAGCTTCAAATTGAGTTCTGTGAGTTTAAAATAATACAATAGCTACTGAAAACCATGGCTGCACACAAGTCGATATTTCAGTTATGTAAACTTAACAACTGACAATTTAAGTTGCAATGTAATATTGTCCATTGTTGCAATTTGAAGAAGAATTTGACTTATGGGTTAGAATGAGGGTAACATGTAACGTTATAGTTTAATCATAATATTATTTTGTCGTAACTATTTTTCAAATAACCTTGCTAGCATTAACATTTTTAATGTCTTGGGGTGGTGGGACTACGGCGCACAGATATGTCAACTTTGTATATTTAAATGTTAATTGTACTTTTCTGTTGTGTGGCGCTGTTAATACAAGTTATAAACTTGAGTGCAGCGTTACACTGTCCTTGTTATGTTTTCATGCTTTGATGAATAAAAAAAACTATTTTTCAGGTTGAAGCCAGCTTGGCAGAAGCCCAGTTCGACAAAGAAGTGTCTCAAAATGCCTCCAGGTTTGACTGGCAGAATTTCAACAATGCAACACTCAAGAGACTCTTTGATAAGATCACTGGCCTTGGAACCGCAGCTCAGACTGACCAGGCAAAACTGGAGGAGGTCAGTACTGCAGTAATATGTAAATCCGGCAGATGTCGTTCGTTTAAAGGTGTCAGCGGCCATCTTGTTTTCTAAACCTAGTAATTGCCTTACGAAAACATTCCATCCACACGTATCCCTATAAATAGATTTTATTTGATACTAGTAAAATATTGACTGTCACTTTCAATCCAATTTAAGGTGTACATTGCAAATTTTTTTTTTCGTTGCTGTTTTTCAGCTCAACAATATACTTGTAAAATATTTTTTTCGTTGTTGTTTTTCAGCTCAACAATATACTCTCCGAGATGGACAACATCTACTCCACTGGGAAGGCGTGTGAATACGACAACCCGTCCAACTGTCTGGCGCTGAACCCAGGTAAGGGAGGCGGACTATACGGACGAATGGTAGTCTGTTTACAGAGCGTTAACTACACGAAGAAGAACTACTAGAAAATTGTACACAATTTAACCCTATCTAGACGGGGGGGGGGCTAAAAGTGCCCGCGGCAACTTTGATGTCACATAGCGTCTGAATGGCTAGAGCTAGAACCGCCAAACTTGGTGACTTTTCCTAAAATATTGTTGGCAACAAATCTGTATCAGTGGAATAAGATTATGATTTTTCTTGTTGCCATGGCAACGGGTTTCTGACAGGCATTTTTTTGCCAAATTTAATAATTTCCATTTAAACAATAGAATTTTATGGGTTTATGTCAAGTTACACATTGTTTCTAATATTAATAACATTACATATAATTATATGTAAATTTTATCATTAAAAATGCATAATTTATGCTAATTTGATGACGTCATTGGCCAAAATCCAAGATGGCGGACCATATCATTAGATCAGGTAAATACATCTTATTTTCCTTAAAATTTCATCAATACTTCCATTTCTTTTTACAAAAAAGGTTCATATGAACGTCTTTAGTCTGTTTACAATGTATTTTAGGCTTAATCCTGAAAAAAAACTATTTTTCAAAATTCAAGATTGATGATCCAAGATGGCGGATAGGTAATATATGCATGACGTCATTTTATGACGTCACCGGTGTTGCTATGGGCAACATAAGACTAAGTACATCCTAATATTCTGTCATAAACACTTTCGGTAAAGTTACGTCGTATACTGTTTAGTTTTCAGGGAATAACCTATCTAGACGGTTTTGGCCAATAAAATCACATTAATGACGTCATAATGACGTCATAATACGTCACAACGACATAAAAATTGTGGATATGATAAATTTTTACTAGTACACCATCCTCTGAAAATTTGGTGGTCCTACGATATACCGTTCGCGAGTTCTGAGGGGGGGGTCAAAAGAGAACCCCCCCCCCGGTCCCACCAAGCCCAAAAAAGCCCGGTCTAGATAGGGTTAAAGAACAAAAGTAACTCTGTAGAACTCACCCAACTAGTTTCACCACTCAAAACGTTTAAGCGTTCTACTAGGTTCTCCACTAGCTCACACAACTTCACCGTCTAAATTCCTTCTTAGAAATCTTTTTACAGTGACAGTTTCTTTCCTCGTACGACCAAGCTTTGGAATTCCCTCCCTGACAAGTGTTTCCCACCAACCTACAATCTACAGACTTTCAAATCAAACGTTCACCGCCATCTCTTGACATAGCCATGTTTCTCTCATACTTCTAGTTCAATGCCGAGAAGTGGTCGTATAGGCCTTGCATTGAACCACTCCGTTAAAAAAAGTCATTTCAATTGTACCCTGGTGAAAAATACAATTGACATTAAGGCTCTACGATGTTCAATGCTTTACTCAATCAAACTTTTTATCCTTTTCATTCCTTTTCGTTTGTTTTCACATGTTTTGTACACTCATGTTTCTGTGTACAGATTTATACAACTGCCTGGCTGACTCTCGTGACTACGACCGGCTGCGGTTCTGCTGGGAAGGCTGGCGGGACGCCGTGGGCAGGCAGCTGAAGGACAAGTACCCTCGCTTCGTGGAACTCAGTAACGATGCCGTCGGACAAGATGGTAAGATGCTGAACTTGAACATTCACCTTTACATACAGACGTGGTATTAGAGAAATAAGCAGCACATTCAACAGATGAGAAAGTCTTTCAATATCATCTCAGTAAGTACTGTCTACGAAAACTGCGTCGGCCGTCTTAGCTTGTTGGCAAAATGATGGCAGTGTCTACTGCAGTGTACATTTGATCGATCACTTAGTTTCACAAATATGCATTGTAGACAGTGCGTCCTGTGTAGAGTGTTTGAAATTGTGCAAATGTGCACCAAAGTAAAATGTATGGAGAATTGAAAACACCCCTACTGTGGCCTCTGTGGTCCAAGGGCTATGGAAACAGAGATTGGCACTGCACTTCTATACCGAAAGTTGTGGGTTTAAACTAACTTTATATTGTATGTCACTTTTGCTCCAAATGTCACATGTCATGTTATGTATCCATGCAGCTCAGAGATGGGAAGACACGGGAGCGTACTGGCGCTCCTGGTACGAGACGGCTGACTTCCAGGAACAACTGGAGAACCTGTACAACCAGCTCACGCCTCTGTACAACAACCTGCACGCTTACGTCAGGAAGAAGCTCAGGGCTACATACGGACAAGACAAGATCAGCGCCACTGGGCCCATCCCTGCTCATCTGCTAGGTTTGTGTGATATCAGAAATATTTTTTTAAAAGGGCTAACAGGCAATAGTCAATGGTGGCTGTCTGGAAGACATTGAGCTAAATATTTCATTGTTTCTTTCTATCCTTAGTAACACATTGACTGATTTGATCGATGTACATGTAGGTAACATGTGGTCTCAATCCTGGATCAACATCTACGACCTAGTGGAGCCCTACCCTGGCAAGACGAGCCTGGATGTGACACCGAAGATGCAGGAAGATGTGAGCAGATCCCTTTCATTTATATCCTACTGTTTGAAGCAACTATTCTTTGCCGAGAACGTCTCTGCTATGCTAGATATAGGCTTGCATGGACTGCCTTTGATGCCTAGTTAGGCAGGTCTTGATGAGACTCGAAATCATCAGAGTTTTATCCACCTAGCGACTTGTCATGATACTGCCGCTAAAATTTCCGGTTTTAATATCTGTACATGCTAAGAATGTTGGTCCGTAGACGGCTCTTGTGCCTGGAAAAAGTGTCATGAATTTGGACCCCCAGCAAACACGGACACTCGGCTATGTCAGTTCTCAACTCAGATTAGAATCACACAGTCTACCAGAACTAGGACGAACCTAACTCACGTCCAACTGGGAATGGTG